TAGCTTGTGCCTTGTGGTTTGCAGTTTTGCAGTGTCTGTCTGCAGTCTGCAGGATGGTCTGTTGTTTGTAAGGTTCATAATTGTAAAAAATTACTCCGACATTGCACATCAGCTTTCTGCTCCAATTGCCTCACATTTTTCTTAAACGAGGACTCTGCAAACAGCAGAAATTAAAATATAAAAATGGGATTCAGTAGCACAGTGTACAATCTCGTTCTCAGACGGACATCCACATTTACGGTTGCCGTTTTAGTCTCCGCCTTCGTATTTGAAAGAGGATTCGATATGGTCTCCGAGAAGATTTTTGACACTGTTAACAGAGGAGTAAGTGTCCATCTGTACTTCCTATTGTTTTTACGTTTAATTCGACGTCACAGCTTTATTAGATACTCGTATATCGAATTCTCTGATGCGGGTTATAAAGTGAGGTTATGTCACAGAAAAAAATATTCATCGTGACATATAATGATATTTCGCAAAATAAAATATTGAAGATACTAAATAAACTTACGTCATTTATTTTAATTTATGAGTCAACATATGGTGTTGGAAATGACACATTTTGATTTACATTTTGACATCTGAAAGAAATACGACACTGATTGCATAACAGATCTGTTTCTTTCAGAAACAATGGAAGGACATCAAGCACAAGTACGAAAATTAAATGGGAAATTTTAGGAACAATATGTGTTAGAGATCTAATAGATGTATTCTACCTCTCGATATGTAAATAAATAACAAATTACATGAATTGACGCTGGCAAATTTATTCAATTAAATATATTTTTATTTCATATATTATTGTGATATACAATATATATATTATAAGATACGAGTCGATATACATATATATTTATTTCAATTTATCATTTATATGTATCGTATAGAAAGGAATAAACAATTATTCTATAGATGTAACAGAAACGTCATTTTTGTTATAAGCAGCATCATTATATGTAAGTCTTTTATATTTTAAGCACTTTTTAAGTACAAAACTGATTGTAGATGAATATTGAGCTTTTTTTTAAATAGTGCCTCTGGAGTTGTCTGCATTAGGACCCATGAAACGACCGGCGAAAAGAGTCTCACTTGTTACCAGATCAACGATGGTAAACATAAATGGTCTATTTGCTATGAAAGTTTGATCCATGTTAGCCATGAGCGGTACAACTGCAAGTTCTGCAATTTAATGAGCATTAGCACAGCAATTTGTAAGTTACAATTTATTGAAAGGAGTCATAAATTAATTACTGATAATTACCTGTCACTGCAGCAGCAACGGTTCCTTCTTCGTCCACTTCTATCTTAGCATTTTGAATGATATTTGCTAATTGCAAGTATTTGTTAAACACGATTCCAGTAAAATTTGCTGCAGAACTAAAAATGTCTTGTATACCCATCTGAAACAGATCACATTTCTTGGTTTTATTCAACTCTTTTGATACATAATGCTGTCAATGATATTTATAATAATAAGAAATAGTATTAACTGCAAAATCAATTATATTAATAAGAACTATAATTGCAATGCGATTATAAAAAATATATAAAAATTGTTTAAATTGTATCACTCATTACTATGACACAACTCAAAAGATAAAGTTTTCCAGAAAATGTTTGTTTTCAATCATTAAAATTTTGCAATATTAATTTTAAAATGTAATTTTGATATAATAATTGATTATAAAGAGATAAAAATGCTTTTTTTCTTATATTTTTACTTTTTTTATAAACATTGAACAAAATAATTTTTTAATCATATTGTAGGCATAAACGATATATGTTAACAAATTATTAGTATTGATAATGTGAAATATAAAAGTAAGAAGAACATAGAGATAAATGAGAGTACTTGGAGTGCAAATTTTTATAATGTATAATATTATCTACAAACCATTACAAGTTCATCGAATGTTTCGGCCTTATTTAGAACTATCTAGATAACAGGGAAATCCAATGTATAAAAATTTTTTAAATGTGTAGTAATGACATGTAGTAAAAAAAGCTGAGTGTTCCTTTTACAATTCTAGCTCGACGTTTTGGTATTTAAACTTTTCATCTTAAAATGTTACAAAGAATACATCTTTAAAATATTTATCGTCAGTGATGGGACACCCTGTCTAGTAGTCTTGTGTTATGTATATTAAATATAATTAAACGTATATAAATTAATACTTACGCGCATTAAGGGTGAACGCAAATCTAGTTTACTATCGATACTAAATTTCGGAATGGCAAGTATCAGTTCAGTTTCGTTGAGACTAGTGAGCAGCGTTTTCATCGGTACATACGACAGATCTTTGAACAGAATTTGAAGGTTCGGATCGCTCTCTTTATGAGACGGAAGGAATATTAGCATAGACGTCCTGCCATTCTGAAATATTAATTTTATGAGTTTCACATGATTTTATTCTTAAAAATAAAAATTTAAATATTAAATTTCTGACATATTTATTTTAACATTTTTATTCAAAAAGATTTAAAGGAAATAAAATTTTCTCTATAACAAATAAAAATAAATTTTACGCTTTATTTCTTAGAATATTGTGTAAAATTAATTAATTTTTATTTCTATTTCTTTAAACAAAAATAACATATTACTTTGACGATGATTTATCTGCAATAATTTTCGTATAAAACATTATCACAAAATGAATTAACGGCAACTATATGTATAAACAAATCCTATAAAATAAGACTTTACAAAGGTAAAAAAAGATATGCTGCATACATAAATGCATTCAAAAGTATACATCAAAAATTAAAAAAACGTATATTTATTAAAAAGTTAACTGTTCAAAATGAATATGAGATCAATACAATTATTACTCAAATATATCATTACAAAAACAAGACCTAAAAAATCCTATAAAAATCTATTTAACTTGCTCTAAAAGTCTAAACGATTCATAAACCGAATTCATTTTCTTTCTTGTTCAAATTCTCATTTCTCGGGAAACGAATAGAAATAAAGTTTAGGATTTTTTTACTCACTGTTGAGTCAAATTTGCAATTAGGAATACAACATTTTCAAGTAGAATGATTAATTTTTTTTAACGAAAATATTAAAAAACTAATTATCGGATTACTATAGTTTAAAAGCCAAAAGTTGCCTAAATAATAATTATATGTAGTGTTGCTCGAGGTATGCAACTAGTGTATAAGGGTTGACATACTATACATTGCGTGAATTCTTTATAGACGTCGAAGCATTCATGTTAACTTATAGATGATTAAGAATCTTACCGAGTACGGGATTTCTACCACATCAGCGTCAAGAGAAGCTATATTGCCATATCGATACTTCGAAGAGTTCTCCATCATAAGAATATCTTGGCAGCCACTCTGAGGAACATAGAAGCACCGTACACGCGTAACACCCTTATCGAAGGATTTCAACCATCGTCCTTTGAAGTACAAAGACGAAGTTAACACCATCTGAGTATCGGCGCTAAGAGTGCCTGGAACAACGTTGATAAAATGCAATTAAACTGAAAGAATTATTAGCTTCAAAATTGAAGAAAACGTTCCTTCAGAACAAATTCGTAAGCTCGAATTACTGGTTTGGGAGGAGGAGGAAGTCTTCTGCCATATTCGGTAAATGTTCACTTACAAAGATCATGACTTTGACAACATATGTCAAGGTCAACGTCATCGGAGGAGCATCCCCTAAAGTGAGCATTTACCTTATATTTAATAGAACTTAAGTTAAATACCAGGCTGAATGATCGTCTTGATATTATTCCGCGTGTTCTCGCGAACCCAGGAATTGATGATATTGGCCGCATCGTTTGTATTCCCGAAATTCAGCTGTTGGATATCAGTTCCATAATAAGTATTTAAGGCGGTCATATAATTAGTAGATGCCGCAAGAGCCGGATTGATCCACAAGCGAGTTGCTACATCGATTTCCGTGCCATTTTGTTGACTCTGAAAAATTATGTGAAAATAACGTGAAGAGAAAAGTCAGACAAATTTTTGACGGAAAGAAAAGACGCACCGATCGGTATAATTTTGATAAATTGTCTATGCAAATTCAAAATTGATTTATTCTGTTGCCATGAATAAATAATCACTTAATTTATACTATCGAAATTACCGATTTCAATTATCGATGTTTGAATAAAGTTTAAATAAAGGTATATCTAATATACTTTTAGAGGTATAAGAGAGCGACTCGCTATTCTCCTGATAATATATTCTTCTGCTGGCAATCTCAAAGCTGCAAGAAGCTCGTGACGTGTTCGACCACCCGTGCCTTCCACTAGACTCGTAAGGGCGATTTTCGCACTAGCAGGAGACAGTATCAGATTACCCTCCACATTCTCGTTTACTCTCTGCGGTTATCATCATGAAATTTTCATGAACATAAGAACTATTTTTTATATATATATGTATATCTTAATTTGACAAGAAAATTATCTTTTATTCTAGAAGTTAAAATACAAAATGTGAATGAGAGATCGAAATATAGAAATGTAAAGAATTTAAAGGGATCCTAAAGTCGTCTATTTTATTAATTGTACGTAATAATTTTCATAGAACGATATCGCATTATATTACTTTTACAGATTTGGAAATCCGTCTTCAGAATTAAAATATACCCACGCATTAATATATACGTGTCTACAGCTTGGAAGTTACGCTGAGAATCAGTAGACATTTTAACAATAAGCCAAATTACATTACTTTTTTCTGAACCCTGCCTTTGTTTTCTATACAACCAATAGCGACAGTAGCGTATTCAGATTTTAACCAATTACATTAAATTAATAAGTTTAAAATGTATAAAGTATATAATTGTAAGAGTAGCTCAAAATAATTACTAGTTACTAAAAGTAATACAACTTAAGTGATGTAAATTAAGTTACAGTTACAGCTGGAAAAAGGAACAAAATTAAGTTAAGACTAAAAAAAAGTAATTCTCAATAAACTCTCAATAAACTGTAACTATTAGTTACAAGTAACTAGTTACTTCCCAACTCTGTACAGAGATGTGTCGCATTTTATTGATAAAACAGCGATTTCATCGGAATTCAGGTTTTACTTTAGGATCCCCTTAAAGGGCTTTTTATTTTTGGAAATTTATTTAATAAAGAATAGTACCTTTGAGAATTTTTTTTTAAACCATGTGCGACAGACTTTCATAGACTTTTGTAAATTTATTGTACATATACAAATATATATATATATATATATATATATGTGTGTGTATATACAATATACATGTTAAAAAAAGGTCGGCACCTCGAATTTACTCAGAAGGATGATATTTTTGAAAGAAATGTTTTAGATAAAAGAGAGTTGTAAGGTATAAAAAGATCTATTTACAGATCTTATCAGACCTTGGGTGGCGTCGCCAAAGCCTTGATCTTGACAAATGTTATCCAGGACATAATCTTCAAATAGATTAACTAAAAATAACTTTTTTTATTAGACGTCCAAAAATAAAAAGCCTTTAAAGTAAGGAATTAATTTCTAATTTAAAAAATTCAAAATTTATAATATTTTTGTCCACACTCTTCTATATGTATCAATTTCTTTTAAATTCATTAATTTGTTCCGACAATAATGTAAAGTATATACATCTTCCATCTTTCCCATCGTTTGCATTTTACTAAAAATGCCTTTCTCACCTGCAGGAGATCGATGTTGAAAAAAGAGTATCGATCCTCAGTACTGAGTACAGCTGGAACAACGGTTGGAAATGACATTAATACAATGTGTGATTTCATATTGCAAGAATAAGA